TCAAGGGAGAGTTACCTTGCCTGGCTGACCACAGAGCAGGCAGTGCAGCCAGACCCACCACCCCGACCAAGAAACAGGAGGAACTGTCATCGTGGGAGAAGGGCTTCGGACTCCAGAATCCACAGAAGAGCCGAGTGGGGGGTTGGAGCCGGTTCTGACTGGCTCCGCATTGCCTGCGTTTGCCTACCTCCCATTGTGATTGCACGGCCAGCCTGTGGCGGCTCTGTGCGGCCAGCCCTGCTGAGCGGGGACGAGCCCCACGCCCTTGGTCACGCGAGGCCGTGTGACTGGCCCTTGGTCACGCGGGGCTGTGTGACTGGCGCTTAGTCACGCGGGGCTGTGTGTCGGGGAGTCCAGACCTGCCGGGAACCTTCATTCAAGGGAATCCCAGGCAGACACAGATTCACTCTTAACTCTTGTGGGCCACTTGGTGAGAAAATACTTCCTTTCCAAGCTCTTTCGGCCAGAAAGCCTGAACACTGTATCATCTTGTCTCTAACCTGTAACCCTACCAACCTCCGCCGCCCCAGAGAGGCAGGGAACAGCGGTCTGGTTTGAAGGGCTTAACAAGGTTTTGTCTTCGTTATATTATTTTTAGGGATTTTTTTTTTTTCTGATGATGGGTGATACAGGAAGATTTCCATTTACTCAAATGAGCGGTTTGTTTTGTGGATTGCTCTACATTTTATAAAACCCAAGTTCATTTAAAGGAAAATGGAAATGGGAGTACTGGCAGTGCACAAATGTAGCAAGAACCCCTACTGACATTCAGTTCGTCTGTGAAATGCAAGGGTCCTTTGGGCAGCGCTGTCATTAAAGAAAGAAGTGTGGAGTTCTGCTGCCTGCTGACGGGATGGGGCGGCGGCTGTTCTCATCGGCAGTGTGGGAGTATCAGTTTGTTAAGTCCAAGTTTAAAATGCAATTCCATTTTAACCCAGCCGTCCCCTTTCAGGAACTAATCCTAATAGATTTGTATGTGGAAATATAAGAAAAACCAGTGATTTTATAAGGGTGTTTGTAGCAGCATGAAGACCAACTGAAACAAAGTCTAATAGAATTAAATTAGGGGCCCAGCGTGAGAGCATAGTGGTTAAAGTCCTCGCATTGCACACGCCAGAAGCCCATATGGGCGCCAGTTCTAATCCTGGCAGCTCCACTTCCCATCCAACTCCCTGCTTGTGGCCTAGGAAAGCAGTCGAGAACAGCGCAAAGCCTTGGGATTCTGCCCCCGTGTGGGAGACCTGGAAGAGCTCCTGGCTCCTGGCTTCGGATTGGTTCAGCTCCAGCCTTTGCGGCCGCTTTGGGAGTGAACCATCGGACGGAAGATCTTCCTCTTTGTCTCTCCTCCTCTCTAAATATCCACCTTTCCAATAAAAATCAATGAATCTTTAAAAAGAAAGAATTAAATTAGGAAATATTTGTGAGCTAGATTCTCATTACATTATGAATATGGAGTATTATTCAGGTAGTTGAAGGAAAGAGATTAAATTGCATCAATGCCACACATAGCTCAAAAAGTTAAACAGATACATATATATATACATGAATATTTCCCAGGTTCACATATTTTAAGACTTAAGAAATTAATAATTAACAATCTCAACTGTAGCCTCATCTTCTCTGAAGAGTCTCATTATACTTTAATACATAATGAGCTTTAATTCAAGTAAACAAAACATGTGATTGGACAAGCTCAGAATCCTTCTTTAGTCTATAAATAAAAGCATAAGTGACGTAATGAGACCGAGTTACTGTAGGCAAGGGGAAAAGGCTGGGCAGGTGGAGTGACCCACACTCACCGTCGGGAGACAGCCTGCTCATCATACCTGAGGGAGAGACACAGCGGACCATGTGTAGACACACAGAGCTATTCCCAACGCACAGATCTCCATTCCACACACTCACACAGCCTCATGCTGACTTAGGGTTCCCTCCATAGCCCCCCAGAAACCCTTTTCCTGACTCAGCCACGGCAGGCCTCACTAGCCCCTCATGTAGGTCAGCTTCTGCTGGCAGCCATGCGCTGCCTGAGGGCGCTGGGAAAGTGGGCCTGTTGCAGGACTCTGACAGGCAGACGTCACAAAGTGCGTCACAGCACGAGCAGAGTCCCACGACTGCACAGCCGGCTCCTGGCAGGCATGCTCGGGAATGCCTGTCTGTATTCATCTCGGTTCTGCCCCAGACTCCGAGTTCCTAATGAGCAAGCGAGCATTTCTCGTCCATTTCTATGCTGCCATCACCCAGGCCTGAACCCAGACACAATCTAGATACTCGGGCATTGTTGCTGGGGATGTCCCCGCAACACACGGACACAAACTATCAGCCCAAGGACACTGTGAACGTGGTGGGATATTTACCTATGATGCCTGATTGCAGTCCATCCAGAAAGAGAGTTGACGGAGTGGCCAAGGTCGTAGATGGAGCGGCCAAGGTCGTAGATGCAGCGCAGAATTTTGGGCCCAGGGATCAGGAAAGGAAGCCATCATTAAGAAAACCAAGAAGAAGCAAGAGGCTCCGTTTCTGGGGTCCGGGACCAGACAGGAAGTGGAATGCACTGGGAACCAAGGATTAGGATGCAAGCCCCAGAACCCTGTGAGATGGTTGCAAGCCCTTGGATTCTGACGTGGACAAGAGCTTGACGCTTTGTCCACCAAAGGCACCCAGTTTCCAGGCAGCCATGTCTCCCTTTGGTTAGGAAGCTGAGGAGGGAGGTTCTATTTCACTTTCACTGAAGGAAAATGAAATTCTGGTTCCTGGATCAGAACCTGGACTCTGGACAGCCCGGAGAAGCAAGGCTGGTTGAAAGCAGAAATGATCCTGCCATGCCAGGACAGTAAGAGGCACAGGAGGAGAGCGGAGAACTCACCTTTGAGCACTGCCCGGCAGCAAGCAGCATGCGGCAAGTCAGGAGGCAGAGAGAAAATGAAATTAATTAAGTCATCCTTGCGTATCATTTCACCCCAAGTCCTGAGGTAGAGCGGAATGCAGGGACTACCCTGAGTCCTGGAGCCCCTGGGAGCTACATTCATCCTGGCAGTCAGAAGCCCTAGGCGGCGTCTAGATCCTCAACCCTGCGTGTGAATCCCCCATGACCGGCATTTGATGTCTCCATGAAAGCCAGTGCAGCCCCACTGCCCCATCAGGGATCTCCCTGTTAGTTCTTGCAAAGGAGGAAGCTCGCCCACCGCGATCCGTGTTATCTTGTGAGAAACCCACCAATGAACGTACACTGTCTGATCTAGCCATTGTGCTGTGTGTAGCCAGGATTTCTAATTCAGGTCATTTGAACCCACTAAAAATCTGATCAAAGGCACAAGAGGTGACCTAGAAAAACCACCCAGGTATGTCTCTTTCCATGTCCAGTCCTGCACAGAATCACCCAGCCTCGTTGGCCTGGAAGTCCATCCTCAGTGGGCTCCTCTCCCCCCAGGGGCCTCCTCCAACCCCACTGCTCCTAAGATTCTGAGTTGCGAGACTGTGTGCACAGCCGGGGTTTCTCTCTGACTGGTTGTGATGTGCAGCAGCTTTGCCCTTGCTTCTCGAGCCCTTCTTTGGGCTCCTCACCGATTTAGGGAGAAAAGAGATGAACTTACGTTTGACTGGAGGTGGTGACAGACCAGAAGTCAGCGAGTGAGTCCGCATGGAAAGCAAAGACAAGGAGGACAGTTGGGTGAGTGTTGACATGACCTGACCCGTCCGTCTCCGCACGCTTTTCCTCACTCCTTTACGGGACTTGGCATGTTGCAATATCGGGAGGGACTTGAAAGACTGATTTTACAGAGATCAATAGAGTGGCAATACTGTGCTGGCATGGGTGCTAGAAAACTTCTATAACGTTTAAGTTATAAACATTATTATGACAAATATCTACTTATCCAGATACAAGTATAGGCATATACAGCTTTAGATATCTAGTGTTCCTGGATAAAAATCACCTTAAAGAGGAACCAGTATTGGACATTTTCAGATCTCTATTCTCACAGTGATTCTCTAAGTAACAGAACTGTTTCCACAGCATTTACAGCAGCATAGGTAACCAGAGATGGTTTAATCATGAAAATGTGCCAGGGTTATATGAAACTACCCAACGTTTTTAAGGAAGGGACTTAGGCATCCTTGGATTTTGGTACCCAGGAGGATTCCTTGATAGCTGAATAATATTCCATTACATTCATATACATTTGTCTCTCATTCATCTGTCTGCTGATGCTTAGGTTATTTCCATTTTCTGATTCCAATTGCCCTGTTATGAAAACTTCTGAGTTTTTGTGTGGACTTTTCTCTTAACTTCTGTTGTGCATAACCCTAAGGGTGGAATTGCTTAGCAGCACCATGTTCAAAGTTTGGAAGAAGTTCCAGAATCTTCTAAAGCAACAGACCCACTGTGTGTTCCCAGTAACAGTAGATGATGTTTGCACATCCTAGCCAGCACTTGATGTCATTAACCTTTGGGAATACAGCCATCCACGTGGATGTGTGACGATACTGCATTGAGATTTTGACCTGAAATTTCCTGATGGCTAAGGGTGCTGAATGTATCCTTGTGCGCCTATTGGCCATTTGTATGAATGAACATTTTAAAATAAAATGCTTAATTAATAATAAGATAAATATATACACAGAGATGATTCAAATTGAAAAAAATTCTCTGTGGGACCCTGATAGTTTTTAACACTGTAAGATCCTGAAGTTCATGAAACCCCAAGTAAAGCAGGAGTGAGTGAGTGTCACTGCAGGGCTGTGACCCCCTCAGCCTTTCTTGCCTCTCTCCTCCCAGAAACATGAATGAAGGAGAGAAGAGCTCTTCTCATCACGCGCCTCAATGGAACATAAGAATGGCAATGGTTTCTTTCCACCAGTTATGCCCTGATCCCAAGACAGGCCGGCACCTGATCCACATCCCAACCATTCCCAGGATTCCTGCAAGGGTCTCAAGATCCAGAGGAATCTGAACACTCTTTGCTATGGGAATTCAAATGTGGGGTTCCCATGGTTCTTACTTTTCTCCTCAACAGCCACTGCGGAGCAGAAGCGTCAGCCGTTCCAGTTTACAACAGGATCAGGGAGCAGAGACAGAGAACAGGGAGAGAATTCAGTGTTAGGTTCAGATGAGCAGTAACCAAGGGGACCAGAGCTGTGCAAAGACCTAGAGACCAGCTAAGCCACCCATAGTCTCCATCAAAAACTGACTTAGATCCATCCATCCATCCACCCACTCAGGTCTGTCCATCTCCCCAACTGCCCACTTACTCACCTGCTTAGCCACCTGCTTACATCCATGTGTCTGTTGATCAGTGCACCAGTTCACTCATCCTTCCATCCAACTGTTCATCTCTGCTTCTACCCACTTATTCATCCCTCTATCCATTCATCCATCCATCCATCCCTCCATCCATCCCTCCCTCTACCCCTCCATCAAATTGTTCATCCATCCATCCATCCAGTATTTGCTTGGTACAGGCGAATCAGGCTCTACTCTGACTGCATTTACAATTCTGACTGGAAAGAGATGCTGGTGCAGGAATGAGCAAGACATTCCAAGCCCTGTAACCTATGGATGTTTCAGTCATCTGAAAAATACCCATCAGACTGAGTATGTCCAAGGGGGGTTGTGGTGATAATTATCCCACTCATTAACAAATGCTGCTAATAATAAAGTAGCAGCAATCCATGAGTTCACCTGGATGGAAATAATTGCCTGAATAATGACCCAGCATAGTAGCCTAGTGGCTAAAGGCCTCGCCTTGAATGCACCAGATCCCATATGGGTGCCAGTTCATATCCCAGCTCCTCTGTTTCCCACCCAGCTCCCTGCTTGTGGCCTGGGAAGGCAGTCGAGAACCCAAAGCCTTGGGATCCTGCACCTGCGCGGGAGACCCAGGAGCAGCTCCTGGCTCCTGGCTTCGGATCGGCTCAGGTCGGGCCATTGTGGCCACTTGGGACGTGAGCCAACAGATGAAAGATCTTTCTCTTTGTCTCTCTTCTCACTGTGAATCTGACTTTGCAATACAGATAAATAGATAAATCTTTTTAAAAAATAAAAAATAATAAATAGATGAGTAAGTGAACAGGAGAGAGTGCTCAGTTTTCCTCATGGATGAGTGCCAGTAAATGCACGTAGGAGCAGCAAAGGAATCGCAAAAACCACATTTGAAATAATTTTTACTACAGTAATAATTTTTGCCAACAAGACCATGAGTGGATCCTAAAATTAGTGGACAAATATTGGAGGATAAATACGTTATCTACCTCGTCTTAAAGCATATTAATTACAGAGGACAAAACGGTGACTTAGCAGTGAGAAGTCTGAAGTATTGGGTCCAAGTTAACACCGTAAGGAACAGGGCACCTTAATTTCTCAGGACTCCTGATAAAAATTATTTAGAAGGACATAGCATCACTTTGGTACTATTCCTGCCCCCGAAATATGACTTCAATGTAACCATGAGGAAATTTCAGGTAAACTCCAACCAAGAGACATTCGACAGAAGAACTGATGAACTCTAATCACAAGGCTCGAGTGATGTGATCGGTCAGGGAATGCAAGGTGGCGTGATGGATTCAGCTTCACGTCACAGTTTTCCTTAAGCAGAGGCCATGGTGGAGAAGAAGGAGGCCTTTACTTTGGTTCATACTTGGTGCTGTGTTAGTTGTTTGTTTCGATCATTGCGCTATAGTTAGGAAAGATGCCAACATCAGAGGAAACCAGGTAAGCAGAGTTCAGGAACTCTGTTCTTGTGACTGTCCCCAATCTGTTGTCGCAGAGGGCTTTATCATCTCTCGTAGGGGTAGCCTGGGTGACCCAGGTAGTTACAAAAACAGGGACTTTATTTTTCTTCACTCCTCTTTCCCTGACCTCCAGCATACGGTCCTTAACTCTGCAGCCGTTTCTCCTTGTCGTCCTTAACTCTGCAGCCGTTTCTCCTTGTCGTCCTTAACTCTGCAGCCGTTTCTCCTTGTGGTCCTTAACTCTGCAGCCGTTTCTCCTTGTGTCTCAAGGCCAGCTATCCCCCACCCCACGACCCCATTCTGATGACTGAAACGTTTTATGACTTGTGACTTTGTTTCCACTCTGGTTCCCAGCTAATTCTTTCTTCACCCAAGGACAGGCTGATTGTTCACACACACACACACACACACACACACACACACACACACACACACTTAAAAGGATTCTTTTGTCCTTCGGATAGATTCCAAAATCCTTGGTACGGTCCCCGAGACCCTGCATATCTTCCTCCCTCCTGTGTCCTTGCTTGTAACAATCCGCAGCCACTGTCCTCTGTCCACCATGTCCTCACACTCTCGGAGCCTTCCTCTCCAGGGCCTTGGCACACACAGCTGTTTCGGCAGACACCCCTTTCCCAGCCGTGGGCATTGTCCGGCTGCTCCTCCCCAAGGCCTCTCCTGTACCTTTGCCAGCAAGGCCGCTGAACCCCGCGCCAGGAATGCTCATTTGTTTAACAGGAGGATTCCATGGAAATGTGACTGTGCCTGCCCTTCTCATCACCATATTCCCAGTGCTGGGCACACACAACAAGCCGGGAATGCAGTTAGAAAGAGGAACCCTTGTGAGACAATCCTGGAATCTTTGCCCGGCAAGGTCTGCAGTCTCACTGAACTCTCCAAGGATGATAAGCGTGCCCTGCCATGCACTACACAGGCATGGCTCTTTGCTGTCACGCGGCGGCCCTAGGAGCCAGGGACTCCCGCGGCCTCCTCGTCCAGGCGAGGACAGCGGGGCTGACAGAGGCAGCGTCCCTCCTACGGTCACGGACGCCTGGACGCTGGTGAATGGCCGTCTGAACGCCAGGCCAGGCATTTGGGCACCTCGAGTGTCCACCAAGGGCGACGAGAATGTCTAACTGTAGTTAAGTGGCTGAGGTTAAGAGGCCCTCTCGGATCCCAGCCCCGGGCGCCTCCCCAGCCTAAAGAGCAGGACAGGGAGCAGGCAGGGTGCGGAGTGGCAGCAATACCTTTCTGAGGGATGCAGGCGTGTGCCAGTCCCAGGAAGCCCAGGACCACCAAGGACATCTTCAGCACTGGGTCCTTTCGGCACATCGCGGGGTGAGGGCTTGAGCCGTGCCTTCTCCTTCCAGGGTCAACAGGACTCTGGTCACCTCCACCCTCCCAGACTCCGGGGGGGCACTAACTGTCCACACGTGGCCTCTAGTTTGCCTGGAGGCAGGCTGATGCCCACGCGGCCAGCCAAAGAACAGCTGCCTCCCACGGGAAGCTGCTTCTCCACCTGACATAGCCTTCAGAGCAGTCCCAGCTGTGTGCGGTGCTTGTCATGCTGCAGCCCGCGGGCCGAGGGCTGCCCCTCGCCTGTCGGTGGAGGGACGGTGCACTAAGTGGCATTTCCACATTTGCTAAATGACTGAGAGGGGAGAATATTTAATGAGGTGTGAAGGAAGTTGGCTCCTAAAACAGAAAACTCCACATCCGGGAGGATGCCACAGAGAGCGTTCCCCATAGTCACTTTGATTGCAGAACCGTGTCAGACTGGAAATAGTTCTGGGAGCCTCGTGTTCTGTCTCAAGAGCTGGGGTTCCTGCCACAAGCCCACTGCGAAGCCCTGAGCAGATCGGGGTCCTGCCCTACAAAAGCCTGCTTCATCTCCCCTCAGCCTGTCTCCTTGCCACAACCTCTTCCTCTCTCCTCCTGGACTGGCAACCACTCGGGCTCACCCCGGTTATTTTGGGGGAGTCAGTTCCACGTGGCTGTGGAACCCCGCACTCATTTTCTCTTTAGATGTCAGATTCTGCGTGCTGTGCATTTTGCTCAGCTCTCTCAGGCCCCCACACGCCTCGGCTGGTGGTGCCTCCCTCCGCCTTCAAGCCCAGGCGCCGCCATCCTGCAGCGACACTGAGATGACAGGAATCTCGAGGGCTGGAACCGCCACCGCAACCAGCACACACACACCGAACAAACACACGAACACCCACACAGACGAATGAACGAGCAAACGAAAAGCTGGACCAAAAAGAGAGTGAACAAAAGGTTTATGGCGGAAAGCGGGCTGCTTATATACAGTTCTCCACCAATCACCTCTCCCCGTGGGTCCACTTGGCGCTACGTGATAGGCCAGTACCAATGACATAATCACAGCGGGGGCATCAGCCTATCCCTGTGACTTCCTGTTTACCTGCTGCTGGCGGGACCAACTCCACCGCCTGGCCCTGGGCCAGCCGCCATCTTGCCATGGCCCCTCATACACGTGGGGTCGGCCGCTCCCCACACCCAGGCCTGCCAGGTGGGGTCCTTCTCAGGCCTGGTTTCTCAGGTTAGTTTTTCTACCTTCCTTTTCCACTGGCAAGGGTTCATTGCTTACAGTTGGCGCCTCTTGTAGTGTCAGTTGATTAGGGCTTGGCACAGTAGCATAGAGGGTTAAACCTTCACCGGCTGCACCAGCACCCCAAGGGCACCAGTTCAAGTCCCAGCTCTTGGCTGTTCCACTTCTCCTCCAGCTCCCTGCCTGTGGCCTGGGAAAGCAGTAGAGGAGGACGACTCAAAGCCTTGGAACCTGCACCCGCATGAGAGACCAGTTAGAAGCACCTGCTCCTGGCTTCGGATTGGTTCAGCTCCAGCCATTTCAACCATTTGGAGAGTGAACCAGCAGATGGAAAATCTTTCTGTCTCTCTTTCACACTATAAATCTGCCTTTCAAATAAAAGTTTAAAAATCTGTAAAAATCTGCTCACTGCAATCAGGAAAGTGGCAAGCTTTTAAGAGTTGTTATGTTGATATTTTATAGTCACATAAAACAACAGTTGTACAGAGTATGTCTTCTAGTGATCTAATAGCCATTTTAGTTTGTGACAAAGTCATCCAGGGGTGTATTTCTCAGAACATGTCTGCATGGGGAAGTGACACCTGACCATACTTAATGTCAGCGTCACCTAATCTCGTGTTTAGTACTGAATGGTGTTCCTCAGGTGGCTTGCATAATTTCCTACAGTTTTTTTCCTACAGAAAGATCCTCCCTGTGTGACAGTACGTTGGACACTTGGGAGTTTCTTGTATGATGGGTGTGTGTGGCACGATGGAAAGCTCTCTGGGTCAGAGCTGCTGGGTTGAAGCACTGGCTCCGCTCCTTATCCTGGCGTCCTGCCTGTGCACCCCCTGCGAGGCACGGGGAGTGACGGCCGCCATGCAGCCGACCCACACTGGGTTCTGGAAGCTGCAGGCATACGATGCGTGAGTCACTTGACGGAAGACCTCTTCTCTCCCTATCAAATAAAGTGGAAATCAAGTACATGAAACATTAAAAGTTCTTACAATGTTACTGTGGGAAATCTTGCTTTTTTTACTCAATGTTATGTTTGTGGGTTTCTTTCACGGCCGGGGAGAGCTGAGGATGGTACTGGGGTCTGCAGGAGACAGAGAGGACCCCCCGAGACTGGGTCGGCGAAGGCAGGAGCGATGACAGCTCGGGCAGGCCGGGCCCTGGGGGTGAGGGCCATGCATACTGCAGCTGGAGGCTGAGCACACCAAAGGCCACTCGGTGTGTGCCTGAAGTGCTCATGGCTACGTGAGTTGGACTTCAATATGAATTGTTTTCAGTGTGGAACACTTAAATGCTCTGAAAACAACAATAATTTTTAAAAGGACAGGGCAGTGACTTAAGCTGACCAAAGGTGAACATTAAGGCCACAGGGAGGCGACAGCCGGAGCACAGCCCCTGGGGCCATCACAGGCTGACCCCAGTGGGAGGGATGCAGTCTCTCCCTGTCCAGGAGCCGCCACCCACGCGGCTGGGCAGTCTGGTTCCCAGCCTTGCCCTGCGGCTCTGGGTGGTCCTTTAGTCTGTTCCTTCACACCCACCCTGGCTGGAGGGAACTCTGCAGGCTTGTGAGAGCCTGGAGCAGATGAAGGATCAACGTCAGAGGTGCCGGTGTTTGCCCAGAAGGGTGCTGCAAAGCATCATGGGGGTGAGCCTAGCCGTGCAGTCAGAGAGCAGCCGGGGACGGTCACCCTTCCGCTCCTGCATCTCCCGCCTCTGCGGATGCCAGCAGGTGCATGTCCTGGTCAGTTCACACTTTCCCAAAGAGCAAAGAGGAGGAAGTCACAGCGACGGCTGACACATCCTAGATAGCCCACTGGTTTGAGGGACAGACGTGGGCACAGACCTGCCACTCGCTGGTTCACTCCTCAGACACTTGCAACAGCCAGAACTGAGCCAGGTCCGAGGCAGGAGCCAGGATTCCCCTAGGTTTCCCACATGGGACCCAAAGACTTGAGCCACCGCCTGATGCTGCCCACGCTGTGCGTGAGCAGGAAGCTGGAATCGGGACCTTAGAGGTTGACAGACCTGTGCCCTGTTTTATTTTAGTGCTAATTAAGTTGGACTGTTTAAGGCAATGTACCTATACACCCTGAAAATAATATCCAATATGTTCACCAGGGATGTAGGTTCCGTACTCAAGTTTTGCTAGTTGATGATGGTGACTCAAGATTGGAGGCTGGGGCCTGGTGTGGTAGCTTAGCAGCTGAAGTCCTCACCTTGGATGGCCCTGCTTCCCACCCAGCTCCCTGCCTGTGGCCTAGGAAAACAGGACGGCCCAAAGCCTGGGAACCCTGCGCCCATGGAGGAGACTTGGAAGAAGCTCCTGGCTCCTAGCTTTGGATCGGCTCAGTTCCAGCCATTTCAACCAGTCGGGGAGTGAACCAGCAGACAGATACGTTTTTCTCTGTATCTCCTCACTTACCAATCAAAATAAATCTTAAAAAATAGAGGGCCTGCTGCAGTAGCCTAGTGACTAAGGTCCTCACCTTATACACGTTGGGATCCCATAGGGGCGCTGGTTTGTGTCCCAGCGCCCTGTTTCCATCCAGCTCCCTGCTTGTGGGCTGGAAAAACAGTCAGGGACGGCCCAAAGCCTTGGACCCTGCACCCACGTGGGAGACCCCAAAGAAGCTCCTGACTCCTGGCTTCGGATCGGCTCAGCTCCGACCATTGCAGCCGCTTGGGACGGAAGATCTTCCTCTCTGTCACTCCTCCTCTGTATATCTGACTTTCCAATTAAAAAAAAATATACATATCTTTAACAAAATTTTTAAAGTAAAAAGATATATAAATAATTAAAAATAAATGATTTACTACTTTTTAAATGAAAAAGCAGATTTGTAGAGAGAAGGGAAGACAGTGAGAAAGATCTCCAACCCGCTTGTTAACTCCCCAGACTGCTACAACAACCAGGGTTGGGCTGGTCTGAGGTCTGAAGCCAGGAGCCAGCAGCTTGTTCCGGGTCTCCCACGCAGGTGCAGGGTCCCAAGGCTTTGGGCCATCCTCCACTGCTTTCCCAGGCCGCAGGCAGGGAGCTGGGTGGGAAGTGGAGCTGCCAGGACATGAACAAGCACCAAATGGGATCCTGGCACTTAGAAGTAGAGGATTAATAAATTGAACAATTATACTGGGCCCGTAAGTAGATCTTAAGGGGACAAAAAAGGAAGACAAATGCTCTCAGAGCCACTGACGCTCCGTAACATGGGAAGTGTGCCAGGGCTCAGGAAGGAGGGCGGCAGAGAGGAGTGTTAGCGTCACCCATGAGGGACAGCAGCAAGGGACAGCAGCGTTCGGGACGCCCGGGCCCGCTGGCCGAGTCCCTGGGGCCGGAGCGGGAGGTCACGCTGCAGCCAAGCAAGACGGTGTGGGAGGCACCTGCTCGCGGCGGGGTGAGGACACGCAGTGCCGTGTCACTGCGGCCTTGGTAGCCCTGAAAGGACGCTGCAGACCGTGTCCTCCCTCAGGTCGCCAGGGCCGCAGGGCCCCACCAGCCCCAAGTCAGTCATGTGGCACACCCACACATCCCTCGCTGCCCACCATCCCGTGTTGCTGAGGCTGACGCCAGCATCCAGCACTTTCCTCCGCGCTCGCCTCGTCCGTCTGCACATCTAGAAATGAGCTGCCTTCCCCCTCCTGGGGGGCCTCCGGTGGGAGCCGCCAGACCACCCACGTCTCTCAGGCCCATTGCAACACGCCTTAAGCTTCTCTTTACCCCCACCAACTGTGCTGGGGTCCGTGCAGTGGGTGTGGGTGGTACCAAGGTGTGGAGAGAACAGCTCCCCTGTGTGGCAGGGCCCGGGGAGCTTCCAGCTGTGGCAGGGCCCGGGGGAGCTTCCAGCTATGGCAGGGCCCGGGGAGCTTCCAGCTGTGGCAGGGCCCGGGGGAGCTTCCAGCTGTGTGGCAGGGCCCGGGGGAGCTTCCAGCTGTGGCAGGGCCCGGGGGAGCTTCCAGCTGTTTGGCAAGGTCAGGCGGAAGTCTCTCTGACCACCTTGACGCTGTTTCACCCCGTGGTTGCACGGACACTCAAGCATCCCACTAAGAATTCTGTAATCTATTGAGCCATTGTTGTCTGCCCCTGTGAGACAGTTTTTGCAACCAATGTGAGCTTGAGAGTTAATGTCACTGATAATGTCTTGGTGAGTGGGCCTTTGGCAATTTACACACAGGAGCACAATTAAGCCCGTGCCATTTCTGGACACCTTATTGGGTACTTAACCATTGCCTCAGAATCTGGCCCAGACATGCGACACTCCTTCTGGGAAGGGGCTTGAAAATATCCTAAATATTAATGCAAGTGATGGGAGTGAGAGCTGAAACTGCTATGGCAATAAATATAGTTATTGTTATCTCAAAGGCTAGCTTGTCTGTAATTTTTTTGGAGCATAGAAAATGTAACTGTTTTAGCCGCTTTTATAATTTTTAGCTAGAGGAATTAAGGATGCTTTTATTAAATAAATATGATTTTATTTATTGTTTCACTGTTTATGGGATTGTAGAGCCTACAGTTGTAGGGGGTTTAATATTTGAAACTTTTGTCTTAGGTTTTACGTTTTTTCCCTTGTAATCTATTTTCCCATTAAATAATGAGTGAATTGTAGAAATAGAGACGTGGTAGGAATGTACTACTGATTAGCAGGTCATCGCATGTGCCTTGGCCTTGGAGTCCTGGCTATCGCTCCATGGCTGCTGTTGAAGAATAAATAATAGCTTGCTTTGAAGAATATGAATACAGTATTTTGCAGAATTATCTCTAGGGGCACCTGCTTAGCCCTGAAGTGCAGACGGAGTGACCAAATGTCTGTACAGAATAATTAGTTGTTTGTGTAGAAGCTTGTGAGGTGTCTGAGGAAATAAAAAGGGCAGCTTTTTCTTGGGCTGAGTGAGAACGCGCCAAGTGTCTGTGTCCGTGTCTTTCTTTATCGCCAATCCACGCTCCCTTCCCGAGCTCCGAACTCGGCTGGAGCTGGACTCCGGCACCACTGCCCTGCCCATCGTGTCACCATCCGGGATTCACCCAGGATGACTTTCCCTCAGGTCGCTGCCCCTGGCGAACCCACTGGTGGCCAGGCTCGTCGCTTCTATCCTGTTTTCCATCAGCACATGAGGGAGCAGCCGTGTACAGGGTGGGGCAGGTGGATGTCTGACGCACGCGCAGGGCGTCATGGCCAGAGGTGATGGCCAACCCCTCACGTCCAATGTTTGTCATCTGATTGGTTTTCTAAGAGAAACTGGGATCCCTTCCACGCCCTCCCGACTCCTCTGCAGTTTGTGATGCGTAGATCTGTATTTGATACAAAACTTGTATGTATGATGTATGTATACACTCATGCCGTGTGTGTGTGTGTGCCTTTTCATAAAGTTGATTGGAAAGGCAGAATCAGATCTTGCATTCATTGGTTCACCACACAAGTGATTCCAACAGTCAGAGCCAGGCCAACGGAAGCCTGGAGCCTGGAGCTGCTTCTGGGTCTCCCAGCACGTGGGCCATTCTCCACTGCCTTCCGAGGTGCATTGGCAGGGAGCTGGGTGAGTATAACAGCCAGGTTCAAACCAGCATGCACATGGCATGCCACCCCATCAGCAGGGTGAACAGCTGGGGGAGCCTAATAAATCTTTTTTTAAAGAAACCAATGAGACTTTTATGGGCCCAGCAGTGTGGCCTAGCGGTTAAAGTCCTTGCCCTGAATGTGCCAGAATCCCATATAGGCGCTGGTTCTAATCCCGGCAGTTCCACTTCCCATCCAGCTCCCTGCTTATGGCCTGGGAAAGCAGTTGAGGACAGCCCAAGGCCTTGGAACCCTGCACTCGTGTGGGAGACCTGGAGGAGGTTCCTGGCTCCTGGTTTTGGATCAGCGCAGCTCTGGCCACTGTGGCTACTTGGGGAGTGAACCAGTTAATGAAAGACATGTTCCTTTTCTCTGTAAATCTGCCTTTTCAATGAAAATTAGTATTCTTAAAAGAAAAATTACCTAGGGCCCAGCGCACTAGCCTAGTGACTAAAGTCCTCACCTTGCATTGGCTGGGATCCCATATGGGCGCTGGTTCTAATCTTGGCAGCCCCGCTTCCCATCCAGCTCCCTGCCTGTGGCCTGGGAAAGCAGTTGAGGACGGCCCAAAGCCTTGGGATCCTGCACCTGTGTGGGAGACCCGGAAGAAGCTCCTGGCTCCTGACTTCGGATCGACTCAGCTATGGCCATTGTGACTACTTGGGGAGTGAATCAATGGACAGAAGATCTTCCTCTCTGTCTCTCCTCCTCTATATATACCTGCCCTTCCAATAAAAACAAAATTAATCTTAAAAACAAAAAAGAAAATATTTGAAAAAAAAATGGCCTCGAGCAGCACCAGGACAGGAAGGGGACTCACGCTGCACTGTGCTACCCCAGCACCCCAGCACAGCCCGTGAAGTGGGGCCACTCGGATGAACCCCAGAGTTAGGGTCCACACCCACGGAGGACTGACAGCACGTGACACCACTGACTTGCACTCCTCAAAAGTGCCAAGGAGTCGGCAGCCAGGCAGCGGCCTGGGCACGACGGAGGGCAGGCCTCGTGCCAGGAGCGCCCCGCAGTGTCAGCACAAGCCAGTCAGCAGAGACCTTGTGCAAGAAACCGCCCTCAGAAGGAAATCCCGGGCAAGTCCTCCTCCGGCGGCACCTGCTGGCTCCTGCCCTGCTACTCCGACAGCCAGGCCTCACCCAGCAAGGGCCCAGAGCTGAGCCAAGGGTGCTGCCTCCCACGTACAGAGGCAGGAGCGGAGCCTCCACCAGACGCAGGACTGGGACAGCCTTAAGAGCTGTGCCAAATGCCTTTTGGCGCAAGTCAACAGAAGGGGAACTAGAGTTGAAGACAAATTCGCTGCAGTGTGCTCAGAAGGTCCTGGGACCGGATCTCGACTTTAAGGTTACCACGTGACGTGTGTGTGACAAGACGAGTTGGATCATCCCAGGCTCCTGGCTCCTGGCTCCTGGCTCCCGACTGGCGCAGCTCTGGCCGTTGTGGCTACTTGGGAATGAATCAATGCAAGAAGGTCTTCCTCTCTGTCTCTCCTCCTCTCTGTATATCTGATTGTCCAATAAATTAAATCTTTTTTAAAAAAAGAAAAAAAATCAGGTAGCACATGATGGCGCAATTTAACCTCAGACAGACAGCAATTTCTTCTTAAAACTTTACTGTTTTCCATTTTGATAGGAATAGGGGTCCTCCTTCCCTCTGCGGATAAAACAGCATCATTCATCGGAAACGGTTAAACAGATCGAGGCCCAGAGCAGTTCGGCCCAACAAGACCTCTGCTGCCATCTGCTGGGCTTTTCCCATAATAGCTACACAAATTCTAAAATCTGTCTATTAGTTTTTAAAACAAACAAGCTGTGTACAGTACCGGCTTATGACACAATGTCTGCCCACCCCCACCCCCATTAAACCATCCTGCTGGTCCCCAAGCTCCTCTCAGTGCAGCGACTCAAGTTCTCATCCCACCACAAACCCCTCCACGCACCCCTCCGTGGGACCCCTTAGGCACAGGCACAGCCCCTCCATTCCTATCTGCGGGGTCACACAGACGGCCAGGGTCTTTGCTCTTCTGGAATCTTCCTGACTTCTCTGATAACGCGGGATTCTTCGGCGAGCCGCCCTCGGATGCCCCGGCTGTCTCTGGCCTAGGTGAGCTATATCTTTTTTTTTTTTCCCCCCTTAAAATGTTTGGGGCGAAGGCGGGCATGCACGTCCTGCTGTGACAGTGCGCGGCCGGGCAGGGACCTGCCGCAGCGGGAAGCTCCGTGGACAGCAGGAGCAGCCGGGAACCCAGCAACACCTTGTGTGTGTTTTTTTTAAGGAATCTCTACTTTCTACTCAATTTTGCTATGAAACTGCTAGGTGCGATGCCCGGCACAACACTCAACGCAAGCCGAGTCTCACCCAGTTAAAACAGAACCCAGCAACACCCCTCAGGGCACTGGCCGCCCTACTCGGGAGCCTGCCTTTCTGCAGGAGTGCCAGGGGCCTTCTCATCCAGGAACCCGTGAAGCAGGGGACCTGCAGCTCCGGGAAGTTCCAACAGAGGCCAGGCGGGTGCCGGGTGCGCGGCAGCGGGGGGATCCTGGGGGGCAGCAGGCCACACGCCTCCCTCAAGTGCCAGGCCCCGGCTACCTGCCATCATACGGTGCAGCCACTGCTCCTGCTCAGGCGGCACGGTCTTCACGTGGACCTTGAGGTGGCGCTTGAAGGTGCCCAGCTGCCGGAAGCACTGGCCGCAGACCTGACAGCGGTAGGGCTTGGAGTTGGTGTGGATGCGGCAGTGCACGTTGAGGTTGCCCTTGTGGCTGAAGGACTGGCCGCAGTACTTGCACTCGTACGGCCGCTCCTGCGTGTGCACGCGCCTGTGGGTGACCAGGCTGGCATCGTGGGCGAACGCGTGGCCGCAGTCGGAGCACACGAAGGGCTTCTCGCCTGTGTGGACGCGCTGGTGCACGCGCAGGTCGGAGGGCTGCGTGAAGCCCTTTTTGCAGTCCTTGCACTGGTAGGGCCGCTCGCCGCTGTGTGACCGCTGGTGGATGGCCAGCTGGGATTGGTAGCAGAAACTCTTGCTGCAGTCCCCGCACTGAAGGAGATGCGAGGCCGGCCCCGTGGGGTGCGGGGGCGTCCCAGCCAGGCAGGCAGCTCCTGGGAACCTGCTGTCCTCCGCCTGTGGGTGTGCCCCGCAGCCCTGGGCAGGGAACCTCCTCTTTCTGATGTGACTGCCACCGCGCGATGAAGCTGGGACGGGAGGGGGGCCGGCACCCGAGCCGCAGGCAACGACTGCTTCGCTGGCGTCCTCCCCAGAATCTGCTGCAAAAAACAAATCCACGCGTGGCGTTTAGCGCTGAGCTAGCGCCCACGGTCAGCCTGAGCCCACCGCAGGACCGACTGTGGGACCTTGCCAGCCACCCATGGCCACCCCGAGGCCAACTCCCCAGCACCAAGCACCTGACCGCCCCTGGGGGCCCCCCACTCACAAGGAGCCCCCAGCGGCTGCAGCCTTTCACTGTCCTTTCTCTCCTCCTCCAGGTGTGGCCTGGGGCTTGGCTCCCCCGGTTCTCTCTTCACAGCAGTGTTCCTCCGCTGGGGTGCCTCTCCCTGACAAAGGCAACAATCAGGGCGTGCCAGCCCCGCTGGCGCTCACAGGGGCTTCTGTGGCCGTGCCCTGGGGGCTTCTGGGGCACTCCCTGTCGCCCCCCCACCACCACACCAGGCCCATGGCTTCTGCCCTTAGTGCTTCAAGCACATAAAGAGTCTTCAAAAAAAAAAAAATCATGGAAAATGCCTGTTATAAAAAAACAATTGCGGTCGGCTTTTAGAACATTTTTATACCAAAATAAGCTTTTCTTTAAGAAATACATATTCGTTTTCATTCATCTGAAAGGCAGAGCAAAAAGAGGGCTTTCATCCACCAGTTCACTCCCCACATGACCCATGACAGCCAGGACTGGCCAGCCTGCGGCGAGCAGCACAAAACGCCGCTGGTCTCCCGCGTGGGCCCAGGAGCCGTCACCTGCCTCCTTCAGGATGCCTTACCAGAAGGCTGGATCAGAAGCAGACGGGGTGCGGCGGCACGGGAGGCGGCTTCTCCCGCTGCACCAGCATGCCCACCCTGAAGGTACTGGCCAGGGACATGTCCCATGAGCTTTCTGCAGTGGCCTCCTTCTGTCCCTGCAGCGGACACTGGCAGCACCGGGACTGCACGGGGCTGCACACTCCTTCCGCTGCAGGCTGTCCTATTTGCCGCCCAGGAAGGCCCCTGGACCCACCAACCCCATGCAGCTAACACTCCCCACGTCAGCAACTCAAAACTTGCCAGACACCCCCTGCAAAAAAAAAAAAACAGCCCGGGTGAGCACTGCTCTTAATGAAGATTCAGTTATTATAACACCGTTCCTTCGGCCAATCATTTCTAGAAGTATCTCTGAGGTGACTAGCCATGGGGAGACTAGCTTTTAGTTATCCATCTAGAGCCTACTTCCTGCACCCTTAACGCTGAAAGACTTACTGGCAGAGGGACAAAGATCAACGACTCGTGGCTCACAGGGCCAGGAGCATCCGAGGACGTGCTGAGCCCACGGTCAGTGAGTCCGGGTCCACGTGATCTCACCTCAGCCTCGCGGTCCCCTGTGCCCTCCCCACACCATCCCCACACCGCACACTCACCACTTCCCCGGATGGCGCCTGCATCCCTGCCGGCGCCTGCATCCCTGGTGGTGCCTGCATCCCTGGTGGTGCCTGCATCCCTGCCGGCGCCTGCATCCCTGGCGGCGCCTGCATCCCTGCCAGCGCCTGCATCCCTGCCGGCACCTGCAGGGCTTGGGCTGCGCTCTGGCCTTCCTCAGGTGGCATCTCAGCCCAAGAGGGTAGGTGCTGCCCGGACAATTCCATCACGTCATCCGTAACACCAGTCTCAGATCCGACCATCTGCATCCCCGTCTTCCACAGGAGGAACTTCTGTCCTTGTGAGATGATTATGGACTGGGGAGGGGGGGAAACACATCAGACCCCAGTGGGGGGGGGGCGACACCTGCACCCCGCATCAGGGCACTGGCCACTCCACTTCCAATTGAGCATCCTGCTAAAGCGCCTGGGAAGGCAGCTGATGAGGGCCTACGTGCCAGGCTCCGGCCACTCAGCTGAGCCCAGGTGCAGCTCCAACCCTCTGGGATCTGGCCTGGCCCGGCTGCCCCAGACGCTGCAACCACCGATGGAGTTAGCCAGCCAGTGGAGGTTCTCGGACTCTCCCTGTGGCTCTGGTTTGCAAAGAAATCTTAGACAAAACACAACACCTCTGAGGGTAACTGTCGTATGCCCTGTAAGGCTTCTCGGGGGGCACGAGCTGCATGTAACCAGCTCAGAATCAGCCCAGCAGACAGCAAGCCCGTTCAGGCTGCTCTGCATGGACATCACCACCGCCTGCCCCACCATGGGCCTTTAGAAGCTCACCAACATGGGGTCCTTTGGAAGAACTGGTCTCCAAATCTATGGAGAGCAACAAGGACCCTCTGGGCAAATGCCAGCCTTACCACGGGCACCCCGGCCGGAGCCTGGCGTCAGGTGCTCCACAGGGCATCGTGGTGGCCGCTGACCTGCGGCACCAGCCACCCTACTTCCTCTCTTATGCCTGCCCACCCCTCACATCCGCTCGCCTCCTTGCTGCTGGCCACACGCACACTGTTCTGCGTTCCCTTGGCCCACAAGTGTCCTAGAACAGTTCTCAGCCCCAGCGGGACTGGCAACTTAGAGTGCTTCTTTCTTAGCTAAACGGATCCCTGACTTCCTGCCCACCAGGTCCCGGCCATGCGCCTTCTGAGTGTGACCAGTGGGGCTTCTGCACCACCCTGGGAAGTACCCTGTGCTTCAAAAGCTGCTCTGGGGAGAATGGGATTAAAGGCGTCTCCATTCCCCAGGCTTTTTACAGACCACTCATCAGGCTTTCAACCCAGCTCGGCCGCCTCTTGATCTGGCTCCTGCAACTACAGGCTTACAAAAGTTAGTGTAGAATTTGAAGATTACGTTCTCATCCTCTGATCGTGACACCCGCCTCAGTGAGACCCCCAAGTGGTGGCTTCCTAAGGGCTCTCTGCCCACTCCTGCCGGGGAGCAGTGGCCCAGTGGGATTCCAGAACCTGCCCGAGGTGTGCCGGGCGGTCAGCCCTCCGAGTAATCCTGCCAGATGAGCCTCAGAGGCTCCGTCAGCGCCCACACCTGCACTCCCAAGACCCCACCAGCTGAGTGCCCTACCTGCTAGAGCACCCGCCAAGGCCCAGATGAGGCCCCCACCCGCCGAGGCCACGGCCGAGGCCCCCCCACCCAGGTCTGGACAAGGCTCCCAGCCTCATCTCCCACAGCGCAAACCAACCATGTTAATTAACTACACAGCCCCTGCAAAGGCCCACTTTGGCTCTGTAATCAACAGACCAATTAAGTCATTAACCCCACACTCCTGCTTCCCACAAACTCATTCGCTGAAGTCCCCAGACCTGTGCTCGCTGGGGGCTGGGGGCTACCCGATTCACCAGCCACACATCTGACAGCTGGGCCTCCCTATTCCCAGGAGAGTCAACCAAGCAAGGACTGGTGATGCAAAGCCAGACAGGTGTGGCTTTGTGATGATGAAGACACTGCATGCCACAGCGGTCACTGGCTCTGCTCCCTCACCCCACCTGTTGCCACGCCTCTAGGAGGCAGCAGTTGCTGGCTCCCTGCGACCTGGCTCCCGGCTTGGCCAGGTCCAGGCCTGACCTCTGCAAACGCTTCAGGAAGAGTGACCAGTGGAGTGTCCATCTCTGCCTCGCACATCAGCCTCAAAATATCACTCCCATCCCGGTTATGTACAACCTTCTTCCTTCCTATTTCTCCCAGCCAGTCCTATTTACCCAGGATCCAGGATATATCTGGTATTTGCTAGCGTCAACGCAAATGCATGGGAGGCGGCATGCTGCGATCGCCTGAAGCCAATTCCCCCAGGCACTTCCAGGCTCCAGGAAACTGCAGAATGTAGCCATGCTGTGTTCAACAAGGCCTATTCTATCCTCATCTCACAGAATCCCCAGCTGGCCACCCCACCTCCGCCCAGGCACACCTGTTCCTAGTCCGGCCTCTTGCCCCCACTTTTCGCATTTCCTCCAAGCATTGGGGAACTTAAACCACCAGGTCAAAAAGCCAACTCCCCTGGCCCAGTCACATCTCTCTAAGCTAGGGAAAGATTTTACCCTTGGGACAACTGGCAAGGGCTGGAGGTGTATTTTGGCTGTTGCTACTGGAAGATGCCCAGAGGCAGAGCCCGCAGTACTGCCTCGGGCCTGGCAGGAATATCTCACCCCTAAAGTCACTGCTCCCAAATGTGAACAAATCCTGAGCTAGTCCAAAGCCTGCGAGCCAGCCCGCAGCCGCCACTCAGTGGCCCCTGGGGAAAACGCAGAGACCATCCCTCGCTCGGACTTCCCCTGAGCCCTTCGAAGGGGCAGCGTCCGTCCCCTCGTCTTTCGGCAAAACGTCCTCAGTGGCACCACGCAGCCCTGGCTCCACGCGACAGTGACGTGTGCAGTGAGCAACTTGGAGGGGTTGGACTAGCGCTTCTCTCCCCAGGCGGGTGGCTGGGTGGGAGCTGCCCGCACCTCCAGGGTCGGGGCCACCTCCTGGCCTGGCTGCCCCGCCCTCTCTGTGCCTGCTGCCTGTCCAGTGGCATGCGCCAGGGTGCTACTCACACAGCTCGAGGGTTTCTTCCGGCTGTCTCGCAGCAGCAGCTCCTCCAGCTCCTGGCAGCTCGTCACACCACTTTCCTTGACCAGCACCTGGACATCCGGAGGCGTGGAGATGAGGAACTGCTCCAGCACCAGCTGGTCCAGGATCTGCTCCTTGGTGTGCGCCTCGGGCCGCAGCCACCGACGGCACAGCTCACGCAGCACCCTGAGGTCTCCGATGGGGTCAGCATTCTCCCAGCCGTTGAACGCTCTGAACCTCAAGTGCCACTCCTCGGGGCTGCCACCTCGGAGCTCGGGCTGAGCGTCGTGCGCCGGCACAGGTGATGGCAGCTCGGGGCCAGTGCTGCCCTCCCGAGACCACGTCAGCTCTGAAGTCATCTTGGAGAAGGCCCTTCTAGAAGCTGCTGCCTTTCAGGTCGGCGTGGTTGACCTGAGTGATGGATTCACTAAAAGGCTGGGAAGGAAAAAAGGAAGCAGGCAGGTGGGGAGACTTCCCGCCCTCCCCTCCCTTATAAATCTCATCCTGCGACCACTGGTGCAGATATGACGGGTGGAACCGGGCGAGGCCTGCCCCTCCTGACTGGCCACAGGGCTATGGTCCGTCCTGAACACCCAACTGCAACAAAAATCCCTTCCTCTGATGTTTCCGTCAAAATACAGTGATAAGGCCAACAATTAGCCACACTTACTCAGAAATAACAGAGAAAAAACAGATTTGTCACCTGACAATTGGCCCGGCATTCGCATGGGCTCCCCTCCCCCATGCACAAGTTCAGTGGCACGGAGATGTTACAAACCGTGCTGACTGCACAGTCCTCCCGAGGGGACCGTGCTGACTGCAGAGTCCTCCCGAGGGGACCGTGCTGACTGCAGAGTCCTCCCGAGGGGACCGTGCTGACTGCAGAGTCCTCCCGAGGGGACCGTGCTGACTGCAGAGTCCTCCCGAGCGCCCAGCAGGGAGGCCGCGGCTTCCTCTCCCAGCCCGGGTCATGCGCCGTTCGCGTGCCACTGCACCGAGGCACACCTCATGGACGCTCGCTCATCTCACTCCCGAGGACAGACCTGAGACTGAGTGCCCCTGGACACCTCGGAAGGGCTGTCACCTCGGAAGGGCTGTCACACCATTCCCCGTTACACGCTCCGTAACACGCCCCAGATGCGGGCGTCAGCTAAAAGGCAATTTTTAAACCAAGGGGGGAAAAAAGGCTGGTTTTCAAAGGCAAATGCTCCCTGCTAATGCATTTGGGAAGACAGCAGAAAATAGCCAAGGCCCTGTGTGAGTCCTGGAGGAAGCTCCAGGCCCTGGGTTTGAGTCCTGAAGAGCTCCAGGCCCTGGGTTCGAGTCCCGGAGAGCTCCAGGCCCTGGGTTCGAGTCTCGGAGAGCTCCAGGCCCTGGGTTCGAGTCCCGGAGAGCTCCAGGCCCTGGGTTCGAGTCTCGGAGAGCTCCAGGCCCTGGGTTCGGCTGGCCCCGCTCTGGCTGGGGAGCAGAGCAGCAGATGGGGCATCCTGCTCTGTGTCTCCTTCTCTCGCAACCTTCTCGCACTCAACAGGTGATGAAATTTAAATATATATATGTATATACATACATGTAACTGCCTAAACCCTGGCCAAGGGCCTCGGCAGGCATTTTCTAAAAGCCATCCCAACGCAGCAGGTACATGGATAAGCACTCATCATTACCATCAGCAGGGAAATGCCAATTAAAATTCAGCAATCTATGCACATGGAGGTGATCAAGGAGTTTGTGGGAAACAAACATCTTGGAAAAAGATACATGGATGGTCTTCAACAGCGTCTGTGCCAGATAAAATTACAATTTTGGGCCCAGCGAGATTGCCTTGTGGCTGAAGTCCCCACCTTGCATGCACCGGAATCCCATATGGGCGCCAGTTCTAATCCCAGCAGCCCCACTTCCCATCCAGCTCCCTGACTGTGGCCTGGGAAAGCAGTCGAGGACGGCCCAAAGCCTTGGGCCCTGTACCCGCGTGGGAGACCTGGAGGAAGCTCTTGGCTCCTGCGTTTAAATTGGCGCAGGTGTTGCAGCCGCTTGGGGAGTGAATCATCGAACCGAAGATCTTCCTCTCTGTCTCTCCTCCTCTCTGTATACCTGACTTAGCAATAAAAAAATAAATCTCTTTTTTTTTTTTTAAAGATTTATTTTTATTATTTTTTCATTGGAAAGGCGGATATACAGAGAGGAGAGACAGAGAGGAAGATCTTCCGTCCGATGATTCACTCCCCAAGTGAGCGCAACGGGCCGATGCTATGCCGATCCGAAGCCAGGAGCCTCTTCCGGGTCTCCCACGCGGGTGCAGGTTCCCAAAGCTTTGGGCCGTCCTCGACTGCTTTCCCAGGCCACAAGCAGGGAGCTGGAAGGGAAGCGGGGCTGCCGGGATTAGAACCGGCGCCCATATGGGATCCCGGGGGTGCAAGGCGAGGACCTTTAACCACTTGCGCCACCGCGCCGGGCCCAATAAATCTCTTTTTAAAATTTAAGATTTCGGGCCCGGCGCAGTGGCGCAGTGGCTAAGATCCATATGGGCGCTGGTTCTAATCCCGGCAGCCTTGCTTCCCATCCAGCTCCCTGCCTGTGGCCTGGGAAAGCAGCCGAGGACGGCCCAAAGCTTTGGGACCCTGCACCCGCGTGGGAGATCCGGAAGAGGCTCCTGGCTTCGGATCGGCATAGCATCGGCCGTTGCGCTCACTTGGGGAGTGAATCATCGGACGGAAGATCTTCCTCTCTGTCTCTCCTCTCTATCTGCCTTTCAATAAAAAAAAAAAATAAATAAAATCTTTTTAAAAAAATTCTAAAAAAAAAAAAAAAAAGATTAAGATTTCATTCCCTTTTGCCACGAGCTTAAAGGTCCCTCCTGCTTTCTTACCTGACAGGGGAGTGAAGCAGCAAGCCAGCGTTAGGAGCGGGACAGCTGCCGCGGGCTGAGTGCTCCCTCCGCTTCTGTGGCCCCGTGCCTTCGGGCAAGCTTACCCTGCCGCTCTGTCGCAGCAATAAATGCGCCTTGGGCTGCACCAACATGTGCTTACACAGCGCAGCTGCCAGCCCCACCTCTTGCTATCCAATCACCCCATGATTGAGCCTCCGCCAGCTACTCCATTTTCCAGAATTCATGTTGATTGACTATCCACAAAATCCCACCTACTTACTGAATCTGCCACGGTAGCCTAGTGGCTAAAGTCATTACCTTGCATACGCCGGAATTCCATGTGGGAACAGGTTTGTGACTCAGTTGTTGCACTTCCCTTCATGTCCCTGCCTGTGGCCTGGGCAAGCAGGCCCAAAGCGTCGGGACCTGCATACACCGTGCGGAAGACCAGGAAGCAGCTCTCCTGGCTCCTGGCTTCGGATCAGCTCAGCTCTGGCTCTTGTGGCCACTTGGGAGTGAACCAGCAGACAGATCAATCTCTCCTTCTCTCTGTAAAATCTGCCTTTCCAAGAAAAAGGTACTATTAAAAAAGAAATCCCACCTACCAAGGAAAAATTGATTTGGAAATAGTATTGATTTTCTTGTAGGTCATTTTACATTTATTTCACTTCCTTGTTGTCGGAATGTCAGAGAGGAGAGACAGTTGTGCTGCGCTCTTCCATCCGCCGGTCTGGTCCCCGACGGCCACGCCGGCCGGGGCGGCGCCGGGGTGAAGTCAGGAGGCAGGAGCTCCGTGGGTCCCCGGCCCCACGCACTCACACGCTCTGCTGTGTTCCTCAGTGCACTAGTGCAGAACTGGATCAGCAGTGGATCAGCCGGGCCCACGCAACACGCAGTGCCGGGGGCATCGTGGCGCTGCGCCAGTGCTGGCCCCGGGGTTCCGAGGCGCGGCCGCCTGGTTACTTGTGACACTCCCAAAGTGTTGGACTTGAAGTCACAGAACACAGCTCCGCACTCCGTAAGCCCTTGGGCTCCTTCCTTTATCTTTAACCGTAATTTATCTCACAAGATTTCTTTTAAAATATTTAGCTTTTTAAAAATAAACTGTTAATTATTAATTTCTTAAGATTTATTTACTTTTATTATAATGTCAGATATACAGAGAGGAGGAGAGACAGAGAGGAAGATCTTCCATCCATTGGTTCACCCCCCAAGTAACCACAACAGCCGTAGCTGTGCCGATCTGAAGCCAGGAGCCAAGAACCTCTTCCAGGTCTCCCACGCGGGTGCAGGATCCCAAAGCATTGGGCCGTCCTCTGCTCTTTCCCAGGCCACAGGCAGGGAGCTGTACAAAACTTGTGTGGAAAAACAGGATTCAAAGATACATGTATTACGGTGCAGAAAATTCTGCTCTTTCCATGAGCCACATTTTTCACGAACCTTCTGCAGCACCCTTGCACACACGCTCCGGTTCTAAGAGGAAGGACGCATCTCCTTCGGTGTGTCGTGGGCGCAACATGAGCTCGCGTCCTGTTCGTGTGACCCCTGCTCTGCGGGGCTCCCGGGCTCGGCCAGTGGGGAGGGTCCCCCGCCTCGGGAACACAGGCTCTCGCCTCAGCCCCCCATGAGTCTGGGTATGCCCTGCCTCCCAGGCCCCTCTCTACCCACCTTGGCAGGCCCTGGGCACCCTGCACGATGGGGCTCCCCTCGCCCCCCCGCCACCCGCTGCCTCTCGGCAGCTCTGCCGGGCTTCCTCTGATGTGTCTAGAATAATTCCCGCTCCTGAGCGCGTATTCCCAGCCCGGTGACTTTCTCCTCACCCCGGGTGCACGGGAGTCCAGCTCCAGGGCCTCTCACGCCTCCTCAAGCTTCATGGAGGAACCTTGCGCCTTGGCACTTCCGGTGTCTTCTTAGAGGTTGAGCACAGCACTCCATCACTTCCGGCCCCTCCCCGGGGGGGTTCAGCACAGCTAATGGCGACCACCTCACTTCCTGCTTCTGCCTGGGGGTTGGGCAGAGCGTACTGGTGACCGCCGCACGGGAGTCCACCAGCGCGCAGCAGCCGGAACCCCACGGTGTGCACCCCTCCAAGCTACTACCTCCACCTGCGTGGCCAGCGAGGCTGTGCAGCGGTCACCCCAGCCCCGCTCCTGGGCCTCCTCCTACCTGCGGAAGGTCTCCCCTCTGCTACCATAGGAGCAGCTTGGGCTAAGGACAAACTTTAGGGGCTGGTCCACCTTGACCACTTTCTCAAGTCTTCCGTGGAATCTTCCCAGCACCTCCATTGCCTTCGCCCTGGCCCAGAAAGCTGCCAGCTGTCACCCAGCCCACAGCACCCCTCATGGTCTCTGCCCCTTCCACCTGTTGTTGGATACACCTCCAAAACACCAGAAATTAGGCCACACCAGGCTGGGCAGGGTACCCATCAGCATACGTATGGGTCAGGTCTGCAGGCAGGCTGGCTGGGCCACTTCCCAGCACCCACTGGCAGGAGTG